AACGGGATAGTTATCGCTTTCGCTTACGTGTTTATTTTCTTACTTCTGACCGCCGACGGTTTTCAAATGTCCCGCGATCTTTTTTTTCTTTTGTATTGGTAACAACAATATGAAAGAAAATGAGCGTATGGTGTTAAACCTTCGGCGGCCAGAAATAACGAAACAAAATCGTAAGCTACAGCGATAGCCATAGCAATTCCGTTAGGCATTTGACCCCCAGCTAGGGTTACCATCCGTCCGGATTAGTCCGGAGATGTCCGGACTTTTAGACTATAGTCCGGACGGATCTATAAATAGTCCGGATTCTTTAATTTACGTTGAATAATAATAATAAATATTTCCAACACTCACACCAATTAGCCTAGCCCCAAAGTAAGCACTATAGGGCTTGTGTTATGGGATACTAGGGTAACAGATAGAATACATATACCGTACATATATAAGTATATTTTTATATAAATACATATTAAACAGCCATGACTGGAGTACAAATGCTTGTATTCATCACACAAACATCTGCCCCCACCGGAATTCGAACCCGGGACCTCTCGAGGCGGCGACACCATGAAACCCGGCGTACAAACCACTCGACCACGGAGGTCGTCAAATAAAATAGCAAAATAAAATCGTAAGCTATAGCGATAGCCATAGCAATTCCGTTAGGCAATTGACCCCCAGTTTGGGTTACCACCCGTCCGGATTAGTCCGGACACGTCCGGACTTTTAGACTATAGTCCGGACTCAGGCCGGATCTATAAATTGTCCGGATTTTTTTATTTATATTGAATATTAATGATAAAAGAAGTACAGATTGATTTAAATACGATATCATTGTAACTAAGTGAGTAACGGTACCATTTTGTGACTAAAAAGTCAGGACAATTTTCGAAATGTCAGGACTTTTGAAATTCGTAAATGGTAACCCTATCCCCAGCTTAAAGACATTTAGACACGTCTTCCTAACCCAATCCCCTACCCCGTGGAGCCCTGGAACCTTACTCATCGACAGAAACACAACACCACCAAAAGATAATGTTGTTTTACTGTGGTCTTCTGTAAGGTGGAGATTACTTCCCCAGACAGGCGCTCCAATTCAAGCAGGAAAGCCGCTATGCCCTAGGTCTGGGGGCCAATCGCCTAACGGAAATGCTTTGGGAAACGCTAACGCTTACGATTTTATATTGTTATTTCTAGCCGCCTGAGGTTTTCGAATACCTCACGCTCATTTTTTTAATATTGTTATTACCAATGCAAAAGAAAAAGAAAGAGCGCGAGGCATTTGAATACCTCAGGCGGCTAGAAATAACAAAATAAAATCGTAAGCGTTAGCGTTCTCCATAGCATTTCCGTTAGGCGATTGGCCCCCTGGTCTTATCCTCAAACAATAATTTGGCGTGGGCGCTTTCTCCTGCTCTCACACAGATATTATTATAGAAAGATTCTCAGTGATTGATCTAGTCTTGAGCATAGTTAGAAAGGGATGTCGCTATATAAATCACATAGCGACATCCCTTTTTAACTGTACTCAAGTAAAGATCAACACTTAGTTGTCATTCTGTAATACGGGCCTTAGATTGTATGTGTAAATATATTCGTCCCACATTCCTCCTATGCTGACGTCATCGATCACACCTACGAAAATATGTACATAGGGTAAACCGGGAGACTTCGGCAGGTGGGATAGGTAAACCATATTTCAAAAATGTATTTAAATTAAGCACTAACAAAACTTCAATTCGTTCTTTGGTCACTCGCGAGAATAAATTTCAATTAAATTTTGAAAGATGGTTCAACTCTTCCACCTGTGCAAATCTCAAGGTTTTCCCTAAGTGTTTTGTAAGTACAGCACTATAACGCACCTTCTCGTAATAAACTATAATATACTAGCTCTTACTAATGTACACCGTCTCACTCACGCCACGCCAAGTTTGACTACATACATCGTGATATAGTGCGATCTCAGAACAAGAACTAAAAGCATAGAAGTAATTTTATGGAGTTTGAGCGTATCAAAGCTTAGAAGGTTGGATAAATTGGTACGCACGCGGTTCATAGCAACATATTTGTCCCTTTTTTGGTCTATATGTAACACAGAACACAGAAGGAGGTTAGAAGGGCCTTGTGGGCGGGGCAGGCGCGCCACAGTTATGTGTGAGTAAATGCTCATAAGAAGACCAAAACTTGGCACTCATTGCGTCGTTGTTCTCGAGTGTAAGCGCTGATTGGGTCGATTGTTTGATGTCGCGTTGTTTGATTGGCTAGTATCTATTAGGTGGAAGTGTAGTGGGAGCGAGCCGACGAATTCGGTTCCCGTACAAACGGTCTACGAGCACCCTTCTAACTTCTATTTGCGTTCTGTGATATGTAAAAATAAGATAACTACTATAAAAGCCGATTTTATAAGTTGAATTTAAATTCTTTCTATGCTTATGCTGCGCATTATTTTATTTGTCCATCGACCGAACACGATTGAGTAGCAATATTTAGGCCTCGAGGAATTCTGAATTTAATATAATCTAATAATATTGACTTTGACGAATTACGATGGCTATATTCTACAACAAAGCATCTAATAAAAGTTATTTAGGGCACCTGCCAAAGTATTGCCAACTCATAAGATAACAAAGTATTAATTTCATTCTATAACAAAATAATCAAATCTGTTTTAGTCAAGGTAGTTTAGGTATGTTTGTGGAGAAATGAAGTTTATAGAAAATTTGCATCACATTTATGCCAACAAGGCACAAATATTAGTTGCAAATGTATTCAAAACATTTAAGAAAATTAATATATAATTCGAAACTTGATAGTGTCTTTTTCTCAGATTACACAAATCTAGAGTTTTTCTTCTTTATATTGCTTGTTTGCTTACTAGGGAACCAAGCAATATGGTCCATCCAACCACTATAGTCAATAGATACTATAGCCTACCCTGATACCTTTCCCTACCAAGTGGAACTTTGGAAACCTTACGCACCGACAGTAACACTACACCTCCAAAACAGATAAGGTATTTAACTACGGTGTTCTGTAATGGTGCTTACTTTTGTAATGCGCAAAAATTAGCGTTCGAAATTTGAATTTATTGATTATTTATATCGGGCTGAATCTCTAACCCCTGCCCCCCCCGCAGGAGCACCACGATATGATAAATAATGTGTTTATATCGCGCTCAATTGTCAGAGTACTATGGAGTTTGACAGTTAGACGCGATAAAAAATGTGATATCATGTAAATTGTGATGCTCATGCTACGGAGACTGGTCTGGGTAGCCATCCAATTTGTTTTTCACGGCCGGAAAATAAAAAAAATCCGGGCGATTTTAATCTTATTATTCGAGTTCTACTGCACATATGTCTCATAGGCTTCATTTATGTCTCAAATCAATCCTGAATAGTTTCTCTGAAATGTTATCTGTATATTGGTGTCGATTCTGGCACAATTAGATGTGTAAACTAAAAATCATTACTAAATATGATAAAACGTAAAATATGAAAAATGATAATCATTTTGTCACTTACATAGAGGATACGATAGACAGCTATAAACGCTAGAAGATAGCTTGACTGGCGATTTTTGACTCGCATAAAAGAGGTTATAGGAGACGATTTAGTATCTACGTGTAATAATTCAAATTTTGAAAGTTAGTTTCAAGGCATTTTAGTACCAAAGCTTCATCGCGCAGGTGTAGGAGAAGCATAACGTGTAAAAGCTTATGAAAATTAGAAAACGGAGTGCAGATATAAGAAACAATTGACTATCTGTGTTATGTCTAAAGCTGAATAAGCTTAAATGTAAAGCTCTACTGCAACATATTTTGACGACCTCCGTGGCCGAGTGGTTTGTACGCCAGGTTTCATGGTGTCGCCGACTCGAGAGGTCCCGGGTTCGAATCCCGGTGGGGGCAGATGTTTGTATGATGAATACGAGCATTTGTACTCCAGTCATGGATGTTTAATATATATTTCTATATGAATATACTTATATAATATGTACAGTATATGTATTCTATATGTTACCCTAGCATCCCATAACACAAGCCTTACATTACAGTGCTTACTTTGGTGCTTGGCTAATTGGTGTGATTTAAAAAATAATATCTCAAAGAATGTTCAATCAAAACCACCTAAAACAGTGTTAAAATTACCAAATTTATAAATGTAAAACCAAGCCAAAACCTCACTGTAGGTATGTCATTCAGTTTTATACAGCTCTTGTAAAATTTAATTTTATGTATTTATACAGTTTTGTTCGCCTACTTCTCATTTATTATCTACCTTAAATAAGATGTTTAGAAGATTAAAAGCGTTTGGCAATGTAGAGGATCTAGGTTCAATAATATACTTGATTCCCGGTCCTAATAAAGTTTTGAGTATCAACAAAGTTATAGTAATTTATTTTTATAAAAAATATTTTTTATTTATTGTATTTAAATCATTAGCCAATGGTTTGACGACCTCCGTAGCCGAGTGGTTTGTACGCCGGGTTTCATGGTGTCGCTGACTCGCGAGGTCCCGGGTTCGAATCCCGGTGGGGGCAGATGTTTGTGTGATGAATACGTGCATAAGTACTCCAGTCATGGATGTGTAATATGTATTTCTATATAAATATACTTATATAGGTACAGTATATGTATTCTATCCGTTACCCTAGTATAAGCTATACTATAACATAAGCCTTATAGTGCTTACTTTGGGGCTAGGCTAATTGGTGTGTCACAAAAAAATATGGTTATTTGCTGTACCGGAAAAAAAACATTTATGTGCCATTGTTGTATTGTTGACATCAACCTTACTTGAAATCTGAATCCTGTTATACCAAAAAGGTTAATTATGGAGGAAAGGAGTTGGGACGATTACACCGTCACACCCTGGGTTTAAGAGATGGCGATCCTAATTCCAGTGTGCTCCCTTCTTTGTTCTTTCGTAAGACATTCTTAACTTGTTATCGGTTTTTTTTACTTCAGATTCTTATCTTCTACAAGAAATGGAAAATATTATAACAACATGAGCGTCCTAATGCACCCACAAGTCATGAACACTGCTGTGCTCTCATTTTTCGCTGTGACCCTAATATCCGGTTGCCATGGCAACCAGAAAGATGATGCCGACGCGTATCTGAGCCGCTTCGTCGCCGATCTATGGTTGGAAGGTGCTGACATAGTTAAAATCATATGGAGGGACTGCTCAAAGAAAGTGAGTAACTTTAAATTGGTTTTCTTCGATGTTATCGTTCAGTGTTAAAATAAAGTGATGATTCGTAACTTCCGTGTTATACTTAAATCGAAGAGCTTTATGTCTCTTGATTAATCTTACGTCCGTGTTACCTTTAGTTTTTGAGAATTCCACAGGAACCTAAATTTTTTTGGGATAAAAAGTAACTTTGACTCAATCCAGGTCACAAAGTATATGCATACCACTTTTCATCCAAATCCGTTCAGTAGTTTTTGTGTGAGTGAGTAACAAACATACAAACTTTCACATTTATAGTATTAGTAGGAAGTAGGCACGATTAATATGAATCTAGCGGAAGGTGAATGGATTTTCTTGCAATCTTCTTTACATAGATCAAAGTTGTTCTCGCTATCAGATCGATCGTTTTAACTACGTAACGGATTTAAATGCAGTTTTCAGCAATAGATAGAATGACTAGCGGCACGCCCTTGGTTCGGTTCGGTGTAGAGCTGAAGTGTATACTTTTTGTTTTCAGGCTTGTATTATACATAATGACATTCATCTATGATTCTTCTTATACCTGCATGCAAAGTCTCAGCCTGATCGGTTTAAAATTGACAAAGTTTCATATAAACCTTTCATTCCCTATTTTATCCCCTAGGGGGTAGAATTGATCAAAATCCTTTCTTAGCGGATGCCTACGTCATAACGACTACCTGCATGCCAAAGGACATTGTTCAGCGTCCATACATAGTTAGCCTAAAAACCAACAATCATGAAATATTATTTTCTAAGTTCAATATCGTAAGTAAATGACTGTAAAAACAAAGATTATTGACGGACACTTCTGAGAACTTAAATTATTAGGAAAACCTTTTTTTTTTGAGGTTATGTTTAATATTCAATGAAACATAGATCAACCTATGAACTTAGTATGAACTCAGTATGAAGTGAATTAGTATTGCAACTAATTCATTTTATTCGGTGCGATTTTAAAGAATAACTATTAAGAAAAACTTGATTTATGTTTTATATTTTATTCATGATTCCTACCTAACAGGAATCATGAATAAAATAAAAACTGTAGTTTTGCTTCTTATTTATTGACTATTTTTCACATAATTTTATCATATTGTATTTATTGGTATATCACATGTATATTGTGTAAATATGCAGCGTGAATGTGTATCAGGTGTTCTTGAATAATTTCGCAGTATGATTCTCTCAGGATGTTGTGGCACAGGTTCACTAGCACTTGGTAATAAGGGCTCTGCTCTTTGGTAACATCGATGGCATATTAGATAATCGAAATAGTTAAATTAAAGGAAAAACAATCGCAAATAAACACACACAACGGATAATCCGAAACGAGAATGCACTTTCCGGTATATTAAACTACTCTTTGGAATGCACGAATGCCACAGATTACCAAGAATGCAAACTGCATGCACCTTGTGGTGCAGTGGTCAACCACAGAGTAACGAGTTTTATGCCGGCCCTTCACTTGACAACAGTTTGTCCTTGTCATGCTTAATATGGAATGAAAAGAACACACTGATGTCATGTTTTAAAATAGCAAATACGAATAGCGAAGTGAAGTGCCGGCATTAGGAAGAAAGAGTGTTTTGTTTGCAGCGCTGCCATAGATTATACACATAAAATGGTATTTATTGTCTCAGATTATTTATTAACTTTTTAATTTAGCTTACTTAACTGGAAGTGTCCGTCACAATCTAAATACTGATTATTATCGCAAAAAATATACTAAGAATTATCATAAATGCCAAATTGGTGTTGGTTCTTAGGCCAATTTTAACATTGTCCTTTCAGCCCGATCCGTCCAGTGGTTTGGGCTGTGCGTTGATAGATCACTATGTCAGTCAGTCACCTTTGAGTTTTATATATATAGATTCAAGATGAAGGTTTATATGTATAATTTTTCAATTCATGCCCAAGAAAAACAAAAACTATGGTCGTCTCTTATTCGAGGTGAAGCGAGGGCGGGTCACACACTAGTATTTAAAAAATAATTTCTTAACAAGTTACGCAAATAGAAACTAATAATAAGGTAGTACATATTTGATTGTTTGCATTATGGAGAAGAACTGAACTTAGCAAACTAAATAAAATTAATAACAAATATCCATTTAATGCAAATTCATTAGTGCGCATGACAGATTATTCCCATATTCTAATAATCATGACCTTTGAAAAACAATGCATCGTCATAACCTTAAACATAGAGTAAAACAAAGAAAGATAGGATTTTACCTAGCTTATCTAATGCGCGAAATTCTATCGCGACACAAATGTTTCTGAAACTCCAATGTAGAGCACAAGACGAATCTGTTCATTCAGCGGGGATCAGTATCTTACTAATCTGATCTTAATGTCACAAAATCCGATTTGCTGAGTCCTTTATTAGCCCTCAAAGTAATTCTTTGATAGAATTTATACGAGATTTTTAGCTTAGAACATACCAAACGTAGCACTTCAATGCGCTCAGAAATACTCCGAATAGTTAATTTGCCAAATATATAGTGATTAGGGTTGCCACCCGTACTTTATTATAAAGTATTGTACGTTATTTCGGGTAATTGTACTCTATACTTTATGCCAATAATAAAGTACGTGAAAATACTTTATTTAAAGTGATTTGAGTACTCGGGAATTAATTTTACATAAAATGTACAAAAAGATGTTGGTAGGAAGAATTTTTGAGTAATACGGACAGAAAGTATGAATATTTCGCCCTCAGCTAATTCCTGCAACATTTTCATGGCTGTATGGCCTTTGTATCAAGACCTTTCCGATTGCGGAAATAACTACAGATTTTTAGTAGCCGCAAATTATTTATATTAAAAGTTGCTAGTAGCAACGTAAAATATATTTTTAAGCTTACTAATAAAGTGGAATAAAAATTTATTTTGGACTCATTGTACTTTTTTTTCTACCTTTAATATCCAATGTTCTTTATTTTGACAAAAAAGGTGGCAACCCTAATAGTGATCGCTTTGTGTTTCGCCTTGGAAGGTTTAATTGTCAATTAAGTTAGCTAAGTATTCCATTTAAGTTGGCAATATTGACACTATACATGTATATGTAGTCTTGTCCAACCTAAAACGCTCAAGAAAAAATATATATGGAAATGTCACAATTTCTAAAAATTACTTTGGTCGTGGTTAAAAATCTTTAGCAGTGACATAGTCGCGAAACGGCCAGTTTCATTATTCAATCTCCAGTAAAGAGTCAGGATAATCTAGTTCCATTTTCTATTAGCAGTTGTTATTATAATGTACACAAAATAACTAGGCAACAAAGCTATATATCTGTCTGGAGTTTGATTATTTTTTGAAACTGGTCGTAAGCGTAAATATTATTTTGCATACTCAATTATAGTTTGACGTAATATTTGCACACGAGGCTCAATGCTGAAATTCCAAACATGACACCAGAGTATATAATGGTTCTTGTACACAATAAGCGATAATACATTAAAATCAAAAGGGTCTTAGAATCAAGTACGAATCCTTAGTTTACACGTAATTGAAGCCATTTAGGAAAACTATGATTTTTCTTAATTTCAACAAAATTTTGGGTATAAATATTATTAGATATAATGAATGAACACGGGATTTAAAGTAGAGAGGTAACCTGGAAAATTAAATTTATTGATTTGCTATTTAGAGCAAAGAAATATTTTGTCCTTATGGCACAATTACATTTGGTCTTTAGCCCGTATGCATCCGAAGCAATATTTACACTGGAATACGGACTGGAAGACGGTGACGGGTACACAAAAGGAAATATATCCGAATACGGGCGTAATCGACTTAGTTCATTTACACTTAGCCGTTTACTCGAATTCCAAATATAATAATAATAATAAAGTTATTATTATTATTATTATTCTCTCATTTATTTAATTTCACAAGTTGGGTTTTTTATAAAATAGATATAAAAGTAAAATACAAACACGTAAATACAAAAATAAATATAGTATAAAAAACCTAACCTAGAAGGCCACCAGCAGCGGAGCGAGGCCCAAGCTACCGGTGGTTAGGGCCGCAGAGAAAGAAACCGCCTGACGATGCGCGCCGTGTCCAGGAGTACTGCCTTTTGCATCTGCCCCTTGACCCAACCATCTAGCGAGAGGCTCTTTAGATGTTGGTCGAGACTCTTCGCTATGAGACCGTTTACGCTAACGACTATAGGGACAATGATCGTCGAATCCACATCCCATAAAGCGGTTACCTCGTGGGCCAAGTCCAGGTACTTGCTGAGCTTGTCCTTCTCGGCCTTCACGAGGTTCTCGTCATGCGGGATGGTGATATCGATGAGCACTGCCTGGCGTTTCAATCGATCTGTCAATACGATATCAGGCCTATTGGCAATAATAGTCCTGTCCGTAATGACAGGTCGATCCCAATAGAGCGTTGCATGACCATTTTCAAGAACTGGCGCCGGTGTGTACTTATAGTACGGCACCTCGGATTCTACAAGGTTGTATTGAACAGCAAGTTGCTGGTGAATAATTCTGGCTACGAGATTATGTCTGTGCAAATACTCACCGTTAGCCAGATGAGAACAACCAGAGACGATATGTCTGAGGGATTCACCAGGCCGACGACATGCTCTACAAATGTCGGCCGTATTAATTATTAATTATTATTATTATTATTATCCATTGGTACTCGTATTCGGGCTAACGACCAAGTGTAATTGCGCCATTAGACTCTTCTGATCTACAATGTGCATAGATGGTTATCCGATCTGCATGTATATGACCTCATGTGTGTCTCTCCTTTGTTTGTAATCTTTCTATTTTATACCGGAATAGCATAGAATAGCTATTTGCAATTGTAATCTTGACATCAGTCTGTTCTTTTCATTTCTTAAAAAGCATGAGATGAACAAACTGTCACGAGCCAATCAAAAGTATGTGTTTAATATTTGATACACTTCTGGGATTTTAGAAGTTCTTTTTCCATCATTACTCATAAAAGGTGTCAATTGAAAAATACGTCCTTTTGTTATCATGAAGTTATGCAGTTATTTTATATTACTCATGTTATATTTATTATTGTTATTTTTTATTATTTTTGTTTTATTTTTTGGAACTCCCTTACATCTGATGGAGATAATATCTAGTGGCACTTGTTGGTTTATGATAACCACAAGAAATGATACTTAAAAATATATTTAAAAGATTATCGCTGATTGTGTACAGCAATCCTTAAATCGTTTAATCAGTAACTAAGGAGTTTAAGCTGCATTATTTATTACTAGTTATTATGTTAATGCAATCTCGTTTTGACAAAATAATGCAAAATATCAATTACTAGCTGCTTTAACCGGATTAACTGAGATGGTGACAGTTTGCCGTGCAATGACGCAATGCATATCTCTATAACTAATGTCTAAGGCCCGTATTACAAAATGACAACTAAGTGTCGATCTTTACTTGAGTACAGTTAGAAAGGGATGTCGCTATATGCTATATATAGCGACATCCCTTTCTAACTATGCTCAAGACTATATCAATCACTGAGAATCTTTCTATAATACCGGCCTAAAATGGCAGCTATCAAATTCGGAACTTAGATTTTGTTATGGGGAAGAGCTCGCGCCAAACTTGTACTTCGCTCTGAAGTTACTTCGCACTGGTGTACAGTCGTGTAGACAATCTTCGTCGAACTATGTATATACCTGTCTATTGGATTGGTCTTTTGAATTATGCAGTCTTCAGAGTGGAATAGAAGATTGGCACGATCTGTATACGACTTTAGAGCGGATTAGAAGTTTGGCGGCAACTCTAACTTTCTCGTTTTCCAGTTAGTGGACGTGAAGGACGTGATCGACCACAAGGAGTACTTCCCGAAGTTCGTGCGGTGCATGAAGCGCAAGACGCTGCGGGCGCTCGACCGGTCGCTGAGCCCCGACTTAGTGCCAATCGCGGACGGTGTGAACTTGGTGCGCTTCGAGTTGGTCGACCGATCTGGCAACATTGTGCCGGAGAATGAAACCAGGTGATCTTTTTTTCTATTTATTTATGCTAGCGGTCATGCAGTGCATGAATCGAAAGATGCTGCGTGCACTCGACTGGTCTCTGAGCCCGGACGTGGTGCCGCTTGCGGACGGAGAGAACTTGGTGCGTTTCGAGTTGGTAGACAACTCCGGCAACATCGTGCCGGAGAATGAAACCAAGTGAGCATTTATCTGTTTATTTATGCTAGCGGTGGCTATAAACACAAAGAATGAATTAAACACGCGCATGAAAATAACAACTTTCTAGAGAGACAAAAACAACGACATATGCATGAACATCTTTTATCGAATTGTTGAACTCGACCTCGACGACATGTCCAGAAGTTCGTGCTCGTAAATGTATAAAAAAAGAAAATTCTGACTAATTCGATGTTGGTTCATGCTAACAATATTGAGTTAAGTAACATAATCGGAATATTAACGTAAACGTCTCGGCTCGGACTAGCTTGTGTCCCGAGATGAGGCGATTACTTTACGATTCCGATTAGTGTGCGGTACAGTAGCGAGTTTCATACAAAGAATACTGTTACTTACCTTTCTGAGTTGATATGTCTGCTACGACCATAAGGAATTATAATAAAAAAAATGCTTTCTGTACTCCCTTTCTATACGAACTTTTATTATGTAAAATCTCACTCCTCCATGAAAGAATTTGCTTAAAAAGAGGAATGAAACTTTTTTTCTTACAAAGTATGTGTATAGAAGACATTAAAATTAAAATAAATCTTTACCTATTCAAATTTAATGCATAGTATAACTCTTTTGAAACGTCAAATGTTTTCCCCTACCACTCGTTATTGGACATATTTTTAGCGGCGTGTGTGTGTAAAGTGGAAGTCTTTGACGACTCGCCTCTCGACCGGTCGTTGTCACACCCGCCCGGTTCGTCTGTTGGCATGTCCCATCACTATGCTAATGTGACGTCCGCATACATTTTCACATTTTAGATATATTTATTAATACCTGTTTTGCCTTATTTAATATTAAAGGTAAACGAGTACCTTTCTATGTATATTAAAATTAAACATTTTAATTAATGCTTAAAATAAAATAAAAAATAATGAAGAAAACATTCATTAGCAAAAATTATTGAATAAAAAATAAAAAAAAATATTAAAAGCTATTCATAAATATTTTATTGAAGTAAATGAATTTGCTTTTTTTATGTCCGTCATTAGAGGCCGGCCGAGACTTCAATCCGACCGACTGAATCCGAGACTTCAGCCAGAGTCCGAGGGCATAAACTGTAGTTTTTTGAATCCATGAATCCGTACAGGAATCTTATTTTTTTCGGGATTAAAGTATCCTTTGCCTCAATCCAGGTCATAAAGTACCTATATACTTACGTACCAAATTTCTTCCACATCCGTTCAGTAATGTTTGCGTGATAATTTGCACAATTATAATATTATAATAGGAAACACATTTATGTATTATTTAATATATCTAGGCAGGTAGATAGTAGGTACTAGCACAAAATAGTAGTAATAGTTAAGCAATAAGACCGCCTTTCATTTGTATTTCGCTTTGTAAGCTTGTTTAAACTATCGTTATGTTTGATAAATTTATTTACAATGGTTCAGTATCTAAAATGATGAAAAATAAGCAGATCCTTAATATTATGAGTTCTCAATAGACATTTATTTCGAACTAACGTCGTCTTTAATGATTTGGTTTATTAGTAGTACCTTGTTGAGTCTTATTGCTGATCGAGACAATACCTAATTATTTTTGTAACTTGTTCTCATGTTGTTTGTTTGCATTTCAATTTGATATTTTTAATGTTCGCATGATGGTAGCTTGGATTAGTATACCAAAATTTATTTTATTCCTATTCCTTTTTGCATAGCATTTAACATGAACAGATCCATATTACAAATAGATGTAACTAAAATATAAAGACTAAGAAATATGAAAATACTTAAGATAGGTTTTTGTCTTCTTCTTTCTTTTTCATCTTTACTAATGCAAAGATTTAAAAGGAGAAGGCATAGGCCCTGGTGGCATATACCAAGTATTTTTTCATAATCTTCAGCCTATTAATGTCCCCACTGCTGGGGCACAGGCCTTCCCTATGGATGGAATAGGGAGATTGGGCCATGACCCACCACGCGGGCCCAGTGCGGATTGGTGGGTGCTAACGACTGCAGATGCAGCTGGGAACAATGACTTAACGTGCCTTCCGAAGCACGGAGGAGCTCGAGATAGTAATTTTTGATCACCCATCCAATGGCCAACCACTGCGAAAGTTGCTTAAGTTCAACGATAGCAGCCGAACGAGCTAACCACTTGCGCCGTCGAGCTCCTCAAGAGCTCGAGTATTTTTTTCATTTATTTGTAATTATAAATTAAATACAGTAATTAATAAAAAGTACTTGCCACAATACCCCACATTGGGTTTCTTCGGATACTGAGTCACTTAAGCTGTAATTTCGGAATTTTATGTTCATAAATGATTTCATTTCCATATCACGGTTGATTATACATATAAACTAGCTGACCCAGCGAACTTCGTACGGCCATAAAAAAATAGGGGTTGGTGGTAGCAGGATGAAAATTAAGGGTTGTATGTATTTTTGTATATTGTATCATTAAAAAAAAAACAAAAAATTTTGTCAAAAAAAAAATATATATAAGGGGGATGAAAAATAGATGTTGTCCGATTCTCAGACCTATTAAATATGCATATAAAATTTCACGAAAATCGGTCGAGTCCTTTCGGAGTAGTTCAATTACGCACACCGAGAATTTTATATATTACATATAGAAAAACATAGGACATCAAACATTCAGAAATACTCGATATCTAAAATAAACCACGGAATTACACTGTTACTATTTACATTTTATGAATATCTCATTATCCAAGTTTTATTAGTACCTAGTTAGTTGAAATTAGTAATGTGATTATGTTTAAAACACTTTGTTTTTAGAAGTATTTGAATTGGCGACGCAAAATTTTACAGTCGCGGTCTTGTATCTTTTAAGAATTCTGCTGCCAAAATGTTACGAAAATAAATTCGCTTATTCAGTATTAGGGAGAAACTTAGTAAGGGCTTTTTTTCCTCAGTATTGCTTAATGTAACTACAGTCAAAGAAGTTATAATAAATAAAGTCACTATTGACTACGATAAATTATCATGGTTATCAGAGAAAATATTATTTCCTCTGTGAAGAATAATAGTCTCTCAAAATAGACACAGTATATATATTTTTTTATTAGATCGTACCCCGAGGCTATTAGCTGAATGAAATTGTTACACCTATTTATATTATCGTTTCTTGCTTATTTGTTTTCCGGAATCTGGAATTTATCGAGGGAATTGGTTGTTGCTGGCCAGTGAATATCAATATGATTTTCGTGATGCATTGCATTTGATTACGTTTTATAAAAAAGTGAATAAATATAATTATACTTATTTCACGGAGACTCTTTATTCTGTTTTACAGAAACAACTTGCGCCTGTGCTAATCATGAATCCTCCTTATATTATAAATGTGCAAGTTTGTATGTTTGTTACTCAACCACGCAAAAGCTACTGAACAGATTTGGATGAAATTCGGTTGCTACACATTAGGTATAGTTTGTAATCTGGATTGAGACTTTGAGACATAGGATACTTTTTTCAGTGGGATTTTCATAAAACCATAGTTAATGTGGGCAAAGCCGCGGGCGGCTGCTAGTTTATAATAATTTCCACTGATTAAGTACATTCGATTGAAATGTTGCGAAACAACATCTTATCTTGACAGTAGGTGATGACCTACGAATAATTAGCAAAAATTATTTTTTTCTAAAAATCTATGGATCGCCTTTGGCCCGGCATGCTCTGACCCACGCTGCGGCACTTGATCCTTCAGGCTCGAGTGGCCCAGTGACTCTGTTTGAAAGGAGACTTCATCATGGGGAGATGCCCTTCGCCTAAAAAATCACTAGGGTCTCTTGTTATCCCAGCTTGAGATCCCTGATATAGCGGATTTTCTTCTCGAATTGGTGCGCCCATTTGGGGAAGAAATCTCCACCTTACAGAAGATTACAGTAAATTAACACTACCTTTTGGAGTATTGGTAAGTAAGGTTCCGGGGCTCCACAAGTTTTGAGTATTAACGATGCAAGTGATATTTTTGGTATCGCAAACGTTCTATAGCTGGTAAATGGCCATCCGTTTACCATCAGGCGGGCCTTACGCTTCTTTGCCACAAAAAGAAGTTTCTTTTTGTTGACGAGTTCGTCACTCTAACCCACATGGCTGTAAAGGTCATCTGCGACAAACAACAAAAACAGTCGAAAAGAAAAAATCTCCACTAGCCTCAAGTCTCTGTGACTTTGCTAAGGCCTTGGTACGTACCAAGTATAATAATAATCATTGCATTCGCCCTGATAGGGAAGAGCGTTTATTGGATTCCTGTCTTGGTCTCTCTTGTACCTCTTATACCTTTTCTTCATCTAGAGAAAATGCTTGACACATATTCCGTGACGGGGTTATGTGAGACTCTTTTCGCACAATCCCGTCCACCCTCTAAACAGCCCATATGACCTACGACGTGTCTAGGCTTCCCGGAGTGTGCCTTACCTACTAAAACACTGGAATGTGCCCTCTTTGCCGGCGATGGCAGCGTGTGTTCTAACCACACCGCCACTGGCAAAACCAGAACGATTTGTATATTCTCTAATGAGAATGTTCATAACTGTCATTATAGTTTTGTTCATAAGGCAGCGGTGGGCGTCTATCATATCTGGCATAATACATAATTCATTATAATTAAACAAACATACCCGAATAGTGCCACCATTTATTTATGTTCTTCATTATTCAGCTTTTGTAAGTCGAATACTGAATAAGGGAGATAATTAGCGGTGAAGGCTAAAGTTCAGCCGTTTCGAGTTTAAAATTATTACCTACTTCACTCTGTTTCCAGAACAAAGATTTAATAATGGAAAATTTTGTAACATCAGACTTGCAGCTGCGGCTTTGTAGAG